AAAGATCATGAGGCACTCCGATATGATGATAGCAGGGGACAGATAAGTACCCTAAGATAGGCACATGGCTTTCCAATGAGTTACACAGCACCTGCTTTACCCGTGCAACGTTCTGATAAATCAGATTTTAAATCTGAAAAGTTAGGATAGTAATCATCGATATGTAGGGCTGAAAGGGACTTTGAGAGATTATCTAGTCCCCTGAGCTGAGGCAGAACCAAGTAAACCTAGATCATCCCTGACTGGTGTTTATCTAACCTCTTCTTAAAAACCTCCAAGGACAGAGATTCCACAACCTCCTTTAGTAACCTGTTCCAGTGTGTAACTATCCTTATGTTAGAAAGTTTTTCCTAACATCTAACCTAAATCTCCCTTGCTGCAGATTAAGCCCCTTCCTTCTTGTCCGACCTTCGGTGGACATGGAGAACAGTTGATCACCGTCCTCTTTGCAACAGCCCCTAATATAATTGAAGACTTACCCGGTCCTCTCTCAGTCTTCTTTTCTCAAGACTAAACATGACCAGCTTTTTTTTTAAACTTTTCCTCACAGGTTAGGTTTTCTAAACCTTTCATCATTTCTGTTGCTCTCCTTTGGACTCTCTCCAATTTGTCCACATCTTTCCTAAAGTGTGGCACGCAAAATTGGACACAGTACTCCAGCTGAGGCCTGTTAATAAACCCCAGAATGATATTAGCCTTTTTCACAACTGCATCATATTGCTGACTCATATTCAATTTGTGATCCACTATAGCCCCCAGATCCTTTACAGTTAGCCAGTTATTCTCCATTTTGTAGTTATACATTTGATTTTGCCTTTCTAAGTGAAGTACTTTGCACTTGTCTTTATTGTATTTAACCTTATTGAATTCAGACCAATTCTCCAATTTGTCAAGATCCTTTCAAATTCTAATCCTGTCCTCCCAAGTGCTTGCAACCCTTCCCAGCTTCCACAAATGTTATGAGCATACTCTCCATTATCGAAGTCATTAATAAAATATTGAATAGTACTGGACCCAGGATAGACCCCAGCAGCACCCACTAGATACGTCCTCCCAATTTGACTGCGAACCACTGATAACTACTTTTTGAGTAAGATCTTTCAACCAGTTGTGCACTTACTTTAATTCATCTAGACCACATTTCCCTAGTTTGCTTATAAGAATGTCATGTGTGGCTGTGTCAAAAGTCTTACTAAAATCAAGATATATCATGTCTACTACTTCCCCCCCCATGGGAATAATTATGTATGTTTGGAATCGACTCACTCATAATGCTAAAGCCATGAGTGAGTCATGCAGGTCATTCCAAAGAAGTGCTTATAAATCCTTTGCCACACAGCATCATCAGGTACTTTGTACAGGCCACATATTTTAGAGAAAAAATGAGAGAGAAAACTTTAAAAAGAAACTATTGTAAAGCCAGGCTGTCAAGAGCCTTACTATATAAATCTTGGAAGGAGAGGAAAACAACCATCTTTTTAGACACTTCTTAAAATTGCTCTCAATAGATTTTCTATATAAAAAATACCACAATAAATGCTATTTCAGAAAACTTCTAACTTGACTGCTTGTATCTTACACAATTCTTGCAACAAAGCCTATACATTCCCCTTTTACATTATGCGTCTGGTGGAAAATTGCCTAGATTTAAGAGTTGGCTATTGAACTGATCTTTGCTCTGTCGGTGTTACATTTTTTGCCTGTTAGATTGTCAGTTCACTGAAAGTGTATCTGCATTTTATCTACACTCAGTTTGATTAGCAAGACTGCTCGGAAACTTTAACATAAGAACGGCTATACAGGGTCAGACCAAAGGTCCATCTAGCCCAGTATCCTGTTTTCCAGCAGTGGCCAATGGCAGGTGCCTCAGAGAGAATGAACAGAACAGGCAATTACCAAGCGATCACCATCCCATCGCCCACTCCCAGCCTCAGCAAACACAGGCTAGGGACACCATCCCTGCCCATCCTGGATAACAGTCATTGATGGACTATCCTCCATGAATTTATCTAGTTATTTTTTGAACCCTGTTATAGTCTTGGCCTTCACAACATCCTCTGGTAAAGAGTTCCACCAGTTGACTGTGCGTTGTGTGAAGAAATACTTCCTTTTGTTTGTTTTATACCTGCTGCCTATTAATTTCATTTGATGACCCCTCGTTCTTATGTTATGCGAAGGAGTAAATAACATTTCCTTATTTACTTTCTCCACACCAGTCATGATTTTATAGACCTCAATCATATCCCCCCTTAGTCATCTCTTTTCCAAGCTGAAAAGTCCCAGTCTTATTAATCTCTCCTCATAAGAAAGCTGTTCCATACCCCTAATCATTTTTGTTGCCTTTTACTGTACCTTTTCCAATTCCAATACATCTTTTTTGAGATGGGGTGACCACATCTGCATGCAATATTCAAGATGTGGGTGTACCATGGATTTATAGAGAGGTAATATACTATTTTTGGCCTTATTATCTATCCCTGTCTTAATGATTCCCGACATTGTTAGCTTTTTTGACTGCCGCTGTACATTTAGTGGATGTTTTCAGAGAACTATCCACAATGACTCTAAGATCTCTTTCTTGAGTGGTAACAGCTAACTTAGACCCCATCATTTTATATGTACAGTTGGGATTATGTTTTCCAATGTGCATTACTTTGCATTTATCAACATTGAATTTCATCTGCCATTTTGTTGCCCAGTCATCCAGTTTTGTGAGATCCCTTTGTAACTCTTTGCAGTCAGCTTTGGACTTAACTATCTTGAGTAATTTTGTATCATCTGCAAATTTTGCCATCTCACTGTTTAACATATTCATAAATGATCTGGAAAAAGGGGTAAACAGTACTTGTCCC